ACATAACATTCTGCATTAACTTTTAAGTAGACAAACATAGTTTTTTAACATACAAAATGAGTCGTTTTAAAGAAAATGTGAAATTTTTTTTTGAGAAACAAGTGTTTTATGCACATTTTCTTCAAAAAGGTGTATTTAGTTTTTCCAGTCTTTGGCAGGAGTTGAAACTTTATTAACTAGGAAAGTTTAACTTACAACGTTGTGGTGATGGACTCAGTCGAAACGCTCCACAATGATCAATGCTGTGTACGAAAGAAGAGAAACTAGATCAACATATGGGCTAAGGTGTGTGAGGATGCACATCTGTTTTAATTCCATTCACTGTACTTGAGAGTTTGTAGTTTCCAGTTTGGGTCCTGCAGCCCAGCAGAGAGACGATTCAGTCCTGATCCTCCTGGATGATTGAAACTCAGGTCAAGTTCTCTCAGATGAGAGGGGTTGGAACTCAGAGCTAAAGCCAGAGCATCACAGCCATCTTCTGTAACATGACAACCTGACAAGCTGAAATAAATAAATAACAAAATGCTTTGCTTAACTTAATGAATTACTAAAAGCTTTCAAGCGCTTGATTTAGCACTTCTTCTTGAGCGCTAAATCAAGGTGACCAATGGTTCAATGTTATCCGACTCCCAAAAAAATACTCAACACCACCTGTCTGTTTACAATGACTTTACCTCAAATTATGCCAGTATAACATGACTTCATGTCATTAGTTTTATTTATTTATTTATTTTTAGGTTTTGTTGCACAACCCAGATAAAACAAAATACAAGTAGTAGTATTTTAACATGACCTTTTAAAGCACTGGATTGTGAAGAACCCTTCCTAATGAACTGTGGGTTCTACATAAATGTCTTGTTCTCACGTACTGACCTGAGAACTTCCAGTTTACACTTTGGGTTCATGAGTCCCTGGGAGAGCATCTTTACTCCTGCATCCTGTAGGTTATTGTCACTCAGGTCCAGCTCTCTGAGAAAGGAGTTCTCAGAAGTTAAAACTTGCATCAGAGTTATGCAGCTTCTCCACGAGAGGTTACAACCACACAATCTAAAAGAAAATTTTAAGGAATGAAAAAATAAATATCTTATTTTATAAATGGTAGCATTTTGTGTACATTTATTTTTTTATACATACAGAGATTTGTTTGACGCTTTGACTACTGGCAGCAGCCACACAAGTGCCTCCTTTGAAGCAGAGAATTTCTTCAAATTAAACATTGTTACGTCTTTCTGTGAAGACAACAAGATGAAGGCAAGTGCTGACCACTGAGAAGGAGTGAGCTTTTCTGCAAAGTCGCTTCCCTTCAGGTAATGTTGGATCTCTGACTCTAGGGAATGGTCATTAAGTTCGTTCAGCCAGTAAAACATTCGGATGCTTTTCTCTGGTGAAGGACAATCACTGATCTTCTTTTGGATGTACTGCACAAGCAGTTCTTTGACATGTGATCGTTTTCCTCTCTTTTTCATCAGACCACGTAAGTGAGTTTGATTATCTTTTAGTGAAAAACCCAACAGGAAGCGGACAAACATGTCCAGGTGTCCATTTGGACTCTCCAGAGCCTTGTCCACTGCATTCTGGTACAGATGTTCAAGTTTAGAATCCTGCAGAACTGTTGTTCGCCTTTTTGTTAGTAGGTTGACACCAGAATTCATGAAGTTAAGACAAATGTAAAGTGCAGCCAGAAACTCTTGAAAGCTCAGATGAACAAAAGAAAACATC